ACTGCGTATCAGTCATCCCACCGCAAACCATATCGTCATAACCCCCAACCCGTCCACTCCACGAGAACAAAGCAATTAAATCCCTCACCAGATCTCTGATGTCTTCACTCCTAAAAAGAAAAAAAGAAAAATGAAATCCCCAAACCAGATTTTAGTAGACACATGTCCCGCACGAGGCAAGCGTCTTCCAACCTTGCTTGAGTCTATTCTGAGAGAGTTTAACACTTCCTCCAAAGAAATGAGAGTCCGATAAAACTTGCTAAAGAAGAAGACCCCCCAGCATTATACATCTGGCCTTTGAGCTGTTAAATCCTCTGTCTCGATAACAAAACTTGGAGCTTTGAATGGCTGCGCGTAACGTCCCCTGAAGATCCACGCAAAGGAACTAAGAGCAGAGATGAGGTAAAATAACGAAAAAAGGCCAAACAAAAAGAGCAGAACGGGTAGCTCTGTGTTAAAAATTGCATCGATTTTCTCCCGGCTGTTCTCGCTGTCATCTCCCAGCTTCCTCCAGGTTTCAATGGCTACTAAGAACCACGGAAGTTCCGTAAGAGTGAAAGCTACAAGGAAAGCCGTGAGCAAGTAAATAAAGCTTGCAAGGGCCGTAATCCAGGCAGTAAACTTTGGTTGTAACTCGAGACAGCTGTTGAAGACGGAGAGATGATGCCGAGAGATGCGCGGTTCCTCGGTATGCTGCTTGGTGTCCAAGATCAGATTCATGTTGCCAACGACGTGAAGATGCTGTACTTGATCGGCAGCGCGTTTGCTGTTAAATTTCCTCAGCTCTGGGCATAAGCCTGATTAGTCCAGTCCTGACACACACTTCAAAAGCAAGGAGAAAGGCATCTATCTCACCAGTATATAGGTCAAAGGCAGAGAGAAAAGGAAGCCAAAGAAGAACAAGGGGCAAAATCTGACCAAATCCCAGCACAAAGCTGATAGGAGGGGGCACTGGGCCATCGGAGGGATTGGCACTACTGTACCAATGGTAGGATAATTTCAAAATGAATCCAACTTGCCCGAAACCTAGGGTTGTGTAGAAAAGAAGCCAGATGATTTCGGCGAAGAAAGAGCGGTTTAGCTCCACTGCTATGATGCGGAACACTCTCGTAAACTGCACCACGACATGGACTTGTTGATCTCCAAGGGCAACAACCTGTCTCGCTTGATGGTCTTGAGCCTTCGTCACCAACTCCTCCAGGCGACGTTTGCTTGGCCATCCAATAGCCCTGTTGCACCCCTCAGCCAGCCAGGCCTCCGAAGAAGTGTTGAACAAGGGAAAGTAGAGTTCAAGAAGCCTTCGCGCATAGCCATACACTATACACACCAGACGAGTAAGTATGGCAAAGAACGATGTGGGGTCAAAGCTGTATGACAGCCTGTGAGGGTTCTTCTCCCAGTCTTGCATGCCACACCTCACATTACTCGCTGACTCGTCCCACATGAACAGTTTCTGGCCTGCTACGAAATGCGGCACCAGTAGCCCGAATGTGGCCACGATCAGAAAGACTCTGACTTCTCGCGTGGGCGTGGTAAGATGACTGCGCAGGATTGTGATTGTGGATAAATGGGCGAGGCAAGAGACGAGAGCCAAGTTGCAGGCCATCGCGTACGAGTATGCAGATATTTTGCTGTCAAGTCCCCCGAAGCCGTACCGCACCAAGTACACAGCAATGACCAGGGCGAAACCGGTAAAGAGCTGCTGATCCGCGATAGATTGGAAGAAGCTCTCGAAGATTGCTGTTCTTTCCGAGAGGACTGGCCCTTCCGGGGAGTCTGCTGATGGGATGGGGGCCTTGAACCTGAACAGGCTCAAGATGTAATCATCGACCGAGTTGTACACATCATGGCGTAAACAGCGGCGGAAATATGCAATAAGGATCACGATCATGCTGAAAAGGACGGATACCCCAAATGAGATGAGAACCTGATTCATTGCGAAGCCGTCAGTAATCCCATTCCTGGGTGAAGTAACAGACGTATTTGGTCTACACAGCAGTACTCACGCCTATTCCAGCCACATCAGCATCAGTGAGGCTTTCTGCTCGGCACGGGTTGTCAGTCTCTTTTGAGGGACTCGCGTCTTCCGTGGTCGAGTTTGACATTGTTAAGAAGAAGCTACAGCGTGCAGCTTATAGTCAACCGACAGAATGACGATAAAGACTCGAAAAAAAAAATGAAGTGGGAAACAGAATATGAAGCCTTGGAATCAAAGGTAAATACCTAGTTAGTAGTGTCATGGGCTTCTGAGACAGTGGAAAAGATTTAGATATAAAGCCGAAAGGGCGAGATCAGGCTGGCAATTTATCTGCACAGGCAACTTCCTCGATAAGGTGCCACCACAGGAAAAACCACCCCCAAGCAGTGTCGTGTTACCCTAGACTCGAGCAACTCAGCAAATGAAGACGAACCGCCCCCCTCCCCCCTCCCGTTTCAATGTCGGCGACATGCGGCTCATCTGCGCCCAGCCTCTCAAGATACCACCAAAAATACGCATTCAGCCTCCGGACAGCTGTGACGAGTTATTTTTGCATTCTTTCGGCAGTAAAGAGAGCCAATCAACATGTTAAAGCTCAGCAAAGGCTTTCAAGAGGTTCCATGTTATCTCCAGAGACTCGCAGACAAATGCACGGCAAGGCTCGCAAGCAGCACGCCGCTCGGCGTCAAGAAGCGCTGGTCACTGCTTAGGTACTTTGGATGTTTAGTGTCAGAGAAAATATACCGACAAGCCGCGTTTAAACACAATAAACTTGCAACGGGGAGGAGGAGGTTCTGTTTCTTCCAACAGCCCCAACTTTTTGTGTCCATTTAATGAATGCCGCCACCCAGCACGTTTGAGGAAGAAAAGCAGGGAGACTGTTGCATTTTTTAAAGATGTCGAGCCTGAAGATATCGAAAAAGTCCCGGGTTGGAGAAACGCTGTCAAACTAGAGACGAAAATTGAACTCGTTCTGCTGCGTAGATTAGATCGGGTTTCTCGGTGAGCACTCCGCTGCAATGACAATCTATTGTGGTGGAATTACCCCGGGCATGTCTCAGAGCCTCACGTGGCCTTCCTTTCTTTTTTTTCAGACAGGCATCATTGAAAGGGGGCAGATCACGATCACTTCATCAACAACACTTCAACTAGCCCGCATGGCTCAGTGGTAGAGCGCATCACTAGTAATGATGAGGTCGTCAGTTCGATTCTGGCTGTGGGCATTAAATGTTTCTTTTTGGCCATTTTATTTTTTGGTGTTGTGGTTTCAAAGCTCGCTTGGTATTGTTCCGAGAAGAGAATGCCAATTTTATTTTTCCATTTTGGATTGTGCGTGTGGCACGGAAGATTAGAGAATAACGCCCAGCCAATCCAGCCAGTCCACTTTAGGAGAGGATCCGTGCGTAGCGAAGGGTGGCACGTGTGGGTGGTGGGTGGTGGGTGGGGAGCTAATTCTCAGTGGGACCGTTGAATCTCTTCTCAACGAACGATCTCAAATTGGAGACCCACAATTCGACGGCGACTGCCGGGACCACTTGCCTCCCAGTGTGACTTTGGGAGACTTTGGGAAGCAACATTCCAGGTTCCTGTCTCGAAAATCATCAATATCAACTCCCCTCACAAAGAAACTTGAAATGTCAAATCCCGACTCGCCCGGCACCCTCGTGCCATCGCCAATCACGGATGAAATGCTCAGGGCCGTCTACGCATCAGATCAGGCCATGTACCCAGTCCCACTGCCAGACAACCGCCTTCGCGACTGGGTATCAGCCTGTCCCGACCTGTCCATGTGCTTCCACAGTCCTAAGCAGGGTCTCATGGGCGTTGTCATCGTGCTGCCCCTGCTCAGGCGCCACTGGGAAGACCTTCTCAAGGGCAAGCTGAAAGAGTTTGATATCGACCCTCGCACCATGTTTCCCGACACAACGGCGACCCTGCCCCACCAAAGAAACAGGAAACCCGAGCAGGTCGGCCTGCACGTGTATCACGTTGAGAGGCTTGCCGTGGAACCGCCAACTGCCAATCAGAGACGGTTCTCAGAGGTGGCCATGGAGGAGGTGACGCGTCGGGCTCAGGAGAGGTGGGATTGGGACGTCGTCGGCATGTCTGGTAAGCTCATCGCCATCACTATCAGCCTGGTATTGAATTGTCAGTGGTCGCGACGCTAACCTTGAAAACAGCCCTTACCGCCACTGGGGCAGGAAAAAACACCTTCCAGCGGATGGGCTTCAAGCCAACCGGGTATCGGGAAGTCTTTGTCACCAAAACAAGTCCCACCACGCCAACCAGGACAACATTTGGCGGCCACGAATTTGGGAGAGACGGTTCCGAGGTCGAAATGCTTTGTATCTACCCAGAAGACGAGGGCGGTGTGGTCCGCAGCGTGTCAGACATAATACCCTACGGCCAGACGCTCGTCTCCATGTCGGAGATGACTGTCAAACATGTCGAAGACTTGGGCACCAATCCAATATCGGTTTGAAAGAGATGGGGTTCGGCAGGCTGCATTGAGTGAGCACTTTTCATGGCAATAGGCGTTTTTTTGAGGAAACAAACAAAGGGAACAAGAGGGTCCCGAGAGAGAGAGAGAGCATTCATTCTGCATAACAAGGTTTTTTTTCCCTCTTTTTTTTTTTCTTGCCTCTTCTCTTTTTTTCGATATTAGCATCCTTTTTGATAATATTACTACTTCTCCACTCTTTCATAACGTCTTATTTGATAGTATATTATTAGGATGGCTTATAGTAGTGAGATCAGTTTCCACAAATAACTACCGTCATGAATCGTGATGGGTGCCGAACAGCCATCCCAGGTCACCTATATTGATGTTTGATATGAGAAGAAGCATCGCACTCGCATCTCTTTGCGTTGTTGGGATGGCGCTTTCATTCCAGCAAAATTCCCACAGAAGAAAGGGCATATAATATTTGAGACGAATGTAAGAACAGCACGTCAGGAAGATGAAAAAAAAGATGGAAAAAAATTAACAAAAAGACTTGACCATCATCGTGATCGGGAATTGAGCCCGACGTGGGGGTCGAACCCACAACCTTGAGATTTTTTAAATCGGAGATTCTTCATATCTGAGTAAGAGTCTCACGCTCTACCGATTGAGCTAGCCGGGCGGAGGAGGAGGAGGCTAGATTCGTGTCTGTTGGGGTGGGACGTCTGGAATTCTCTTTTTGTGTGTGGCGAGAGAGAGGCATATTTTGTTTCTGTTGGTGCGGGTGAGGTGTTTTTGAGTCGAGTCTGTGGAGAATATCAGGGTTGAAAGGTTTGGAAAGCGGTGGAGCCTCTAAAACTCTCAGAACAGACACTCCTTCCTTCCAGGCTGGAACTTGAAGAGGACGGAACAGCCAACCCCCCCCCCCCCCCCTTTTTTTTTTTAATTTTTATTCCTGAGATGATAACAGGTGAAGAAGGAACAAGCACCAGGATAAGCAGACAACAGGTTGTTATTGTCTTCCGGGCTTCAAATTTGAGGGGTTCCCAATCACCGTTCAGCGAATACAAAGGAGCAGGAAGAAGGGACCGTGACTGAGCAGAACAACAAAAAAAGACAAAGATCTTTCTCAGGTCCTACCCGGAATCGAACCGGGGTTACCGGAATATTTCTCTTTTCTGAATATTTCAGAATCCGATGTGCTGACCGCTACACTATAGAACCATTTTGTTCTCTTATTGCTGGGATGGCGGGTGAAAGTAGCTCTCATGTATGTGTGTTTGTGGAATGGAGGAAACGTTGTGGAAACGAGCCCACAAAGTCGAATCGTGCTGGCGGAGAGCGCTCAGACACTTCTACTTCTGCAACCTCCAGAGTTCCATAAACTCAGATGTCTTCCTACCTTCTCTGTGTTGACCTTGAATGCTGCTTCTTTTTGTTCTATCCTCGTGCCGTCATCGACTGTTGAAGTCGGCGATGATCTCTGGCTGATAGATAAAGAACATGCCATGGGCATTTTGAGCAAGTGTTGCGGAGGAAGGGTACGACTGTTGGTAGAATTGGTTGGTGGGGATCGAGAAATACCCCAAAGTTGCAGGTCTTGATGTCGCTTATTGGGGAGTTGAGGAGAGGGATGACTGACAACAGAACGACAACTCAAAGGCCTCACAAGAAACCACAATGGTGTTGGGGGATCGCCATGCCCCTGATAATCTAGAGGCCTTCTTGCCCATCCGGTCGTCAGTCGCGATGAAACTTTGGGGTGTGCTCAGTCGAGAGCGGGTAGGAGTGCGGGACAGCAGCGAAGGTTGTGTTGAGGGAAAACAGGGTTCTTGTCGTTCGTAGGAGGGTTGAAACGATGGGGGATTCGGCGACGAAGATGAAGCCATCTGCAAGATGGTTGCGTCTGAAGAATGGCCACTGGATACTTTCTTGGTTCACCTCCAACATCGAATTGACCCCCTTCATGCAGGTATGCCTTGTTTAAGTTGTGTGACTAATTATTGAGTAATTGTCGGTGTACATGATACCTAGACAGCTCAGGCGGCATGCCGTCTTGAGATTTCATGACAGGTTATAGCTAGTCACTACACTACCCACCTATCAGACAGCCATGATATGGTGACAAAGCTAATGTCAACGGTAGCAAAGACAGTCGCGAGCAAATCCGAGCCCTCGGTGCCTGGACTGGCCACAAGCGGCATCGTGGCCACTCCTCAAACATTCTTGGCTCTCCTGCAGGTTGCCCAAAGTCGCGATACGCGTGAGGCTGATTTAGTGAGGGCCTAGAAACCTGATGAGCAGAATATTGGCCCAAATATAATGCGAGATGGTGTCGATCGTTCTTGAACGAGAAACGATCAGCAAAATCTACGTGCTTTAGAGGAGTTAAGGTCCGGGCTGGTTGTGTTTGGTTGTTAGAGGAGGCCAGGAGGGCGAGAACGGGGCTGTTGGTTCCAAAGGGTGATGCATGGAATTATTGATCTGCTGCATGGCTTTTCTGAGTCCTGAGAAGCAGGATTACAACTTTTGGGAATCCGATGTTGCAATATGGCCTGGAGAACTGCAAGCTGTCGGGCTTGGCAGTAGTGTTATGAATCTGTTTCTTCAGTTCAGCTTGAAGTCTCGGCCAAGCCACCAACCACACAGTTGTGATGTCAGGTTGAGGAAGCGTGTCAATCGTCATCTCTCTGTTGAAGACATCTCGTAACGCTGCCACCGAGGTAACGCCAGCGTCATCAACCAGGCACGCAGTCAGTGTCGTACAAAGCCAGCTGACAGTTCTCAAGCCCTCTTCCGCACAGTGCGGGGTTATCCGACTCCAAAAATTGATGGACCAAAAATGTCAAGTGGCTGGCTGTCATCTCCCGTGAAACAAGCTTCGTTGGGGGCGATTCGGAGTTTTGGCCAATGAATGCAATTTTGCGGGAATCAATAGCCAATACATATATGTATGACAAACCGTTATCGTCTTACGCACATGGCGTCTCGCCATGACTTCATCTCTGAAGTGGGTTGTGAAGTGGATTTTTCAAAGCTGATCCAAAGTTGCCAGAGGCAGCTGCGATGCAGCTGTGGAAGGAGCTCCCGGAATTCTCCGTTTGTTGGCAGTTGCCAATTTGCTGCAGAACTTGAAGCTTTTCTGTGCCTGCAATTGTGATTCGTCGCCGACTCGGGAAGAGACAACTGGTTTCCCATTGGTTGTTGCCAATACTCGACTGCGTTCCATCTTGATTTTGAGTTTTGCAACTTTCAAATGGGCCGCCATGATCAGATCATGATGCCTACTGTAATTATTCTGTGGCGCGCCGTCCCGTCCCAAGCACAGCTGGAAGGAGCAACCCACTTCGCCTCATCTCATGAGATCCTGCAGCTTGAAGATCAGGCAGCGGCGGGGAGCTGAATCAAGAATTCCGAGCCACACACACCTTTTCTTTGAGCAACCAACAGCATTGGCAGAATTCCGGATACTTCCAAATTCAAACCTGGAGGGATGTTTCTGGGCGGAATTTGCCGTGCTTATTCACCCATGGAAGGTTACGATACCGGAACGTTTGAAAGCTTTGGCGACAATTAGATGGGTAGAAGAAAGCCTTATCACACTCACAGTAGATAGGGAAGGCAATGTTGCATCAAAACCTGATGATTCGGCCAGCTCGTCACCGCATACGCATGCCTACAGTACTTCTTGCACTTCTTCAAGCTCTCATTGAACGTTAGCCAGATTTGTTAAAGATCTTCACTCCGCAGTTCCATCCTGACCATTTAGCATCACGGTACACCGTCATATCATGCCGGTGAAGACGGCGGGACTCCTGAGGTGTACAGGTTCCACGGCAGATAACACCCACGACGGCTACCTAAAGAGGAAACGATGTGTCGATGATCCGGAGATTTGACCTCAAAACAAGGAAGAGGGCTGGAGGACCAAGACGCCGAACTCGCCACACCTCCGCGGATATCGTCAACGTCTAGAGAACGATATTGAAGGCTTTGAATACTTGGAGAGATCACATTTGGTGAGGAAGATGCCTATATAAACCTCCATCCTCACCCGCCATCGACACTCGAAATCTTCATCAGCATCAGCATCAGCATCAGCATCAACAGCAGAGTCCAGCCTTCAAACCGAACTACCTACCCAAAAACACCTCCAAACCACCACCAACATGCAGTTCGTCGCCATCTTCACCGTTCTGGCTTTGGCCATGAGCACCACCGCTCTCCCTGCCTCTGAGAGTCCGGCTCTCGCTATTCGTACTGGCAGCCAGACACCTACCTGCTCTAATAGCGGCCAGAGCCCCGTCTGCTGCGATGGCAATGCTGTTATCAGTATCGGTCTCGTTACCATTCCTCTCTGCAGCATCGCCGTCGCTGGCAGTTCCTGCTCGGGCAAGTCCGCCTGCTGCAACGTCGAGGGTAACTCTGTAAGTAAAGCTCTTGCATAGCTGTGGCACCAGACTCTGATACGTGTGCAATTCAGGGAAATAATGTTGTGAACGTCGAAATTCTCAGAGGTTGCAACCTCCTTCTCTAAATCAATGATAGTCCGACAAGGAGTGTCCGAGATATGGGTTTTTGACTGGAGATTCGTAGGGAAATTGAGTGGACCGGTGAATACTGTTGGCTTTTATCCTTTTTCCGGCTTTGTCTCTTTTAGGCCTGGATGACAAAACCATACACGCTCTTTTTGTATCTTCAAGGTTATGATAGCACTGCCCACTTGGGTTTCACACTCATTTTAATCTAATTTTTTATTGCTGGCACTTGCAAGATTGCTCAGACGCGCCTTACAATCCTCAACTTCCTCGCCTTCTTCGGATGGTACCACAATTAAAGCTTAACTCGCTGCAGACCATCCCTCCCAAAGTCTAGATGCACTACAAGATCGTTCCGTTTCTTAATGACGCATGGTACTGCATATCCGTCAACCGTGGCACCGCCAGCGGGGACGACCCGAGGGAGACATCCTGGAAGGCCCAGGCTGAGTCATTAGTATTTGTTACTCATAGAGCACAGGGGGGTCAGCACACAGACCTCAAAGCCTCCTTGGTAACCCCAGTCAGATAAGGCAACTTCTCTAGCTGCACAAGACTGATCCTCCACCAAGATTGCAAAGAGAAAGAATACCTCTTCAGTGCCAAGAGTGTTTGGAACGGGGATTATCAGTCGACAGGATTAAAGATATATTAGATAATCTTGGCGGTCTGGAGGGGCCTGCGGGGGTGGCTTGGGGGGCTTGGCCCCATCAATACAAAGAAGAAAAAAATAAACTTGAAATAAGAGCTTCGCTCCACACTACTTCTTTTCAAAGTATGTAGTTAGCTGCGTCTGGACTTTGGTATCTGACAAATACAGGTTACACATTGTGAACTTTGGAACTCGTAACTCCATGTTAGGGTAGGTATTGATGCAAAGAGGCAAAACTCCCCAACCCCAACAGACGCATTTACTGCATCATCTGAACGCTCTTCAAATAATCACTAGTCCCGCCCTGAGGATCGCGATCCTTAGTCTGGCACCCACCGTTCCCAGCCTTGCCCTGTCCCTTGGCTCCATCAACCCTAGCCCAGGTGTTTCTACTCGTGGCCTTCAACAGATTCTTCTGGGCATCATCAAACCACCCGTTGATGAAATCGCCATGGAAGCAGTATCCCTCGCCGACATTGCCGCAGGCCAGCTTGAGGGGCGGGGTGCCGTTCCATCCCTGAGGGATCAGACTCCGGACGTTGTATCTGACCGAAAACCGCAGCTGGGGGATGCGCTTCATGTTTGACGGGCAGCGGCCGCCGTTGTTGGCAGCGTAGGCGTAGTTCTTGATGTTGGAGGTCTGGACGCAGTCGGGGAAGCGGAGGATGACTTGGATGTTGCCCGAGCAGGTCACGCGGGGCATGAGGGCTCTGTTGCGGTTTTGGCGGTCTTCGGGGCCGTTCTCGCACCTTTTTACACGTATCAAAGTCAGCAATCCGATGCACGATACTACTACGAGAGAATGGTTAGGGGGGGGGGGGGGGGAATAGAGGGGGAAACACATACCACCAAGTCAACCCGGTGAAATTCTCATTGGCGTCAGCCTGGGTCCTGGCAGTGGCGTTACCTGCAATGGCAAAAAAGTCTTGCGGGTAAGGAATCTCGGCCTTGTCGATGTTTTCGTAGTACGTGCTGAACATTCCCGGGTTGACCTCGACGTAGTCGTCGGCGCCGCGGACGTAGTAGAGGGTTGG